TCTCTCTCTCTCGCTCTCTCTCTGTCTCTCTCTCTCTCTCTCTCTCTCTCTCTCTCTCTCTCTCTCTCTCTCTCTCTCTCTCTCTCTCTCTCTCTCTCTCTCTCTCTCTCTCTCTCTCTCTCTCTCTCTCTCTCTCTCTCTCTCTCTCTCTCTCTCTCTCTCTCTCTCTCCCCCCCCCCCTTCAGACTAGGAATTCAAAATGTAATCCGTTTTCCTAAAACGGTGTTAATCTGGAAAAAGAATTCTGATCTATAAATGTATTTTCTAAAAGCCAAGATCTTTTTTATTATTTTTGCTAACAGATGCAGAGCAGATATCATAACACACAAATTTTGCGAGATTTGGTTCGGAATGGGAATAAAACCCTTTATTGTGTTTTCTAGGTACAAAACAAAAAAAATAGTAAGGAATTTGAGATTGAATGTTCAATCTACATCCTTTTTGTCTATTTCTGTGTGTGAGATTTTCTATGTTGTGAGATTTTCTTCCACCCCCTATAACTTTCCCACGCTTTCCAGTACCACAAAAATCAACGCCCTCATAATCAAGTGATAAACAAATTGGCTAAAGTACACATTTATTTTATAGGAAACACAATTTGCAGTTGGCATCTTCATTGCTGAACCTTGTATGAAAATCTCATTTTTGTCAAATCAACTTTGAGCATATCCGCAAGGAATGTAGTGACCTGAAAATCAAGTAAAATGAGATGCATATCGATTCAGATCAGCATAAAACCTCAGTTATATTCGGACGCTTTTTCTCATCCGTCACGAAAAGCTTAGTGGTCACATATTGTTGAAGAGCAGCTGGTGTTTCCGGGTTGAATCGCACGAATAGCTCTTTTTTGATCTATGAGAAGAAAAGATAATAGAAAAAGGGATTGAATGGGATTTGTACAAACCAATAATTGTATATCTTTTCCCTTTAACGGCACATTCTTCGGAACAGCAGATTCTTGATGAGGTTGTGCTTTTATATACGGCTCCTGCCCGTTAGCGAATATCTCCCAGATGACAAGACCGAATGTGTATACGTCGGTTTTTGTGGAGTACACAAAAGAAGATAATGTTTCTGGTGCCAGATATCTAACTGGGATCTTTGTGTTTCTTCTCATCTTGTATGTACTCGCGTGCTTCGCCAAACCAAAATCAGCAATCTTCGGCTAAAAAAATTAGAGTATGAGTCACTAATTCAGAACTGGTCATTACCGTTTTGTCTAGGGAAACCAAAATATTTCTCGTCGCCAAATCTCGATGAATAAGTCCTTTGAAATGGATGTACTCGAGTCCACACGACGATCCAAGACAGAATCGAAGCTTATCGTCTACTCCCACCTTGTTTTTTTGAAGATAATCTTTCAGGGACCCATCTGAGAAAATATTTTTTAAAGGAATTAGCTTAAATATTCTAGAAAAAATTGAAACTTACTTTCGCAAAACTCGGATACTAGCATTATTGGCTTCTTTAGAAGGAACACACCACGAAATGCGAGAACATTCTGGAAAAAAAGGATTACTGTAGTGTAAAAAGATTTCCAACCTTATGCCTTAGCTGAAGTTGTAACCGTGCTTCGTGCATAATTTCAAAAAGTGCAGCCCTCGAGTCATCTTTTTTCAACATCTTCACTGCCACGTCACACCACTTATGAAATTCTTTCTGATCCACACTGAATGGTTGTGCCCATTTCCCCAGATACACTTCTCCATATGCTCCTTCACCTAATTTTTTTGTTTTTATCACCTCGAGACCATCTTTTCTTAATTCCCAATCTTGCAGAGGAATTGGTCGTTTCAGGAAGACACGAGTCTAAAATAGAAGACGTTAATGGGTTATGCGGGAATCCAAGCAACTAACAGCTTGATAACAGATCGGATTTGTTCTGTAATAGGTGATCAGGTCGTCGATTGAAGCAAATTTGGTACGCCGTTCCACGAAGAAACTGACCCACTTCCCATTGATTTCCTCGATACACACATGCATGTCCATGTTTTCTTTTTGTTTCACCTCGTCGAGATCACCATAGAAACTTCTAGTGTTATCAGGTTTTTGAGCTAAAATATGTTATCAGGAAAATACGTTCTGGGGGAAAAATATACCGTCAATGCTCTAATAGGAGTCCACCCTATACGTGCACGTTGACCTCAATTATCTCGGTTCCTTCAAAAAATATCAAAATATTTTCAACTGATAAAATGTAGGTGTAATTATGAAAAATATTTTATCAGTTAACAAAACTTTGATCTCTTGTGAAGCAACCGAGATAATTGAGCTCAAAACGCGTGTGCAGACCGGACTTCTATTAGATCATTTATGGTAACTGCATTGGAGTTGCCCCCAACTAGATCCCCATAAAAGCCCTTTAGAACCCAACTGATATTAACAGAAAGGACAAGAATAACTCGTGTCAATGTACTCTGATCGACTGGACCCGTCTTTTCTGCAGACGCCTTCTTTGCACCAATTGACTTGGCTTTCTTTTCTGGTTGATGTGATAACCTCATTATATAATCTCCATTGGTTTTCAGAAGCATTAATTGTAATTCTTGAAGAACGAATCCATGAAAAAATGGGTAACGGAGAAGATTGTTTTCGATCATTTCGTTTGTAATTCTGAACCATAAATAGATTTTCAACATATTCGGACTTTCTCGTACCTTTCAACACTTTTACATTTTTCAATTTTTTGAAGGTACTCATCGTCTCGAAAACTGATCATAACCGAATTGGTTGGAATCCCTTCATCAGTGGTATTTTCGGTTTTATCGGATGTTTTATCAGACTTCTGAATACATAAAATCTAACGAATGAGAAGATAAATCTCTAGTTAAAAATAACACGGTAACCTGTGACCCAAATACTTAACTCAATTCCGAAAGCTAGAACCCAATTTAAAAAATACTAAAATTAGTTTGGCTCTTTATGATTTAACGGGGGTTTAAACAATTAACGGGGGTTTAAAATATTAACGGGGGTTTAAATTTTTGACGGGGGTTAAAAAAAAATTTGAAAAATTAACGGGGGTTTTGAAAATTTGAAGGGGTTTTGAGAATTAACGGGGGTTTAAATATTAAACGGGGGTTTTCAAAAAGTGTCAGGACGATGTTTGTCCCCAAAATGTTCCAAAGTGCTACAGTTTCTTGTTTTTTGCTCATTTCAGTTGATCTATTCTTTTCTAAAATCATTTTCTTGTTTTTTTTTTCTTTTTTCATTTTTAAAGTTTCATGGCACTGTTCTAGAATTACGGAACGAAAAAAACTTTATCCAAGTCTATCATCTAACCCTGGAAGCAGGTACAGGAGGCTTAGAAAGGGAAGGGCGATCAAATAGTTGCTCTTA